TACAAATAAGCATCTTGCTTGAATACTGACTTCAAGTAAAAAACACTCTACATATAAGCATCTTGTTTGAATACTGACTTCAAGTAAAAGCTTCTTGCCTAAACACTTACTCTACATATAAGCATGCTTGAACACTGCATCTTTTGAATAACAAGTAAAACTGCCTAAAACACTTATCTCTACATATAAGCATCATGTTTGAACACTGACTACAAATGTAAGCATCTTGTTTGAATACTGACTTCAAGTAAAAAGCTTCTTGCCCAAACACTTACTCTACATATAAGCATCATGCTTGAACACTGACTACAAATGTAAGCAAAACTGACTTCAAGTAAAAAGCTTTTGCCTAAACACTTACTCTACATATAATGCTTGAACACTGACTACAAATGTAAGCATCTTGCTTGAATAACTTCAAGTAAAAGCTTCTTGCCTAAACTGACATATAAGCATCATGGTTGAAATGACTACAAATGTAAGCATCTTGCTTGAATACTGACTCAAGTAAAAGTTCTTGCTTGCCATAAACATCATGCTTGAACACTGACTACAAATAAGCATCTTGTTTGAATACTGACTTGCTTCTTGCCTAAACACTGACTCTACATATAAAATGCTTGAACACTGACTACAAATGTAAGCATCTTTTTGAATACTGACTTCAAGTAAACTTCTTGCCTAAACACTTACTCTACATATAAGGTAAACACTGACTACAAATGTAAGCATCTTCTTGTAAAAGCTTCTGCCTAAACACTTACTCTACATATAAGCATCATGTTTGAACACTGACTACAAATGTAAGCATCTTTGAAACTGACTTCAAGTAAAAGCTTCTTGCCTAAACACTTACTCTACATATAAGCATCATGCTTGAACACTGACTACAAATGTAAGCATCTTGCTTGAATACTGACTTCAAGTAAAAGCTTCTTGCCTAAACACTTGCTACATATAAACACCTTGAACACTGACTAAATGTAAGCATCTTGCTTGAATTGACTTCAAGTAAAACTTCTTGCCTAAACTTACAAATATAAGCATCATGCTTGAACAATACAAACCGGCAAGTGCATCTTGCTTGAATACAAATGACTTAAAAAGCTTCTTGCCTAAACACTTACTCTACATATAACATATACACTGCAAATCATCTTGCTTGAATAACACTTCTTGCCTAAACACTTACTCTATATAAGCATCATGCTTGAAATGTAAGCATCTTGTTTGAAAGCTTCTTGCCTAAACACTTATATCTTGACTTTCTTGAATACTGATCATGCTTGAACACTGAAAAATGCTGACTTCAAGTAAAAAGCTGCTTGCCTAAAACTTACTCTACATATAAGCATCTGGCTGAACACTGACTACAAATGTAAGCATCTTGCTTGAATACTGACTTATAAAGCTTCTTGCCCAAAACACTTACTATCTACATATAAGCATCATGCTTGAACACTGACTACAAATGTAAGCATCTTGCTTTGAATACTGACTTCAAGTAAAAGCTTCTTGCCTAAACACTTACTCTACATATAAGCATCATGCTTGAACACTGACTACAAATGTAAGCATCTGAATTTCAAGTAAAGCTTCTTGCCTAAACACCTTGCTTGAATACTGACTTCAGGTAAAAGCTTGTTGAATTCTTGCCTAAACACTTACTCTACATATAAGCATCATGCTTGAACACTGAGCACTTGAATACTGACTTGACTACAACATATAAGCATCATCTTGAACACTGACTACAAATGTAAGCATCTTGCTTGAATACTGACTTCAAGTAAAAGCTTCTTGCCTAAACACTTACTCTACATATAAGCATCATGCTTGAACACTGACTACAAATAAGCATCTTGCTTGAATACTGACTCAAGTAAAAAGCTTCTTGCCTAAACACTTACTCTACATATAAGCATCATGCTTTGACTACAAATTAAGCATCTTGCTTGAATACTGACTTCAAGTAAAAGCTTCTTGCCTAAACTTGCTACATAAACACTTGAACACTCACAAATGTAAGCATGAATAACTTCAGGTAAAATCATGCTCTACATGAACACTTGAACACTGACTACAAATGTAAGCATCTTGCTTGAATACTGACTTCAATAAAAGCTTCTTGTAAAATGTACATCTTGCTTGAAATACTTCAAGTAAAAGCTTCTTAACTTACTCTACATATAAGCATCTTGAACACTGACTACAAATGTAAGCATCTTCTACATATAAGCATCATGCTTATAAAGAACACTGACTACAAAATGTAAGCATCTTGTTTGAATACTGACTTCAGGTGCTTGCCTAAACACTTACTCTACATATGATGCTTGAACACTGACTACAAATCTTGTGAAAAAAGCATCTTGCTTGAATTCTTAAGTAAAAGCCTAAACACTTACTCTACATATAAGCATCATGCTTGAACACTGACTACAAATGTAAGCATCTTGCTTGAATACTGACTCCAGGTAAAAGCTTCTTGCCTAAACACTTACTCTACATATAAGCATCATGGCTGAACACTGACTACAAATGTAAGCATCTTGCTTGAATACTGACTTCAAGTAAAAGCTTCTTGCCTAAACACTTACTCTACATATAAGCATCATGCTTGAACACTGACTACAAATGTAAGCATCTTGCTTGAATACTGACTTCAAGTAAAAGCTTCTTGCCTAAACACTTACTCTACATATAAGCATCATGCTTGAACACTGACTACAAATGTAAGCATCTTGCTTGAATACTGACTTCAAGTAAAAGCTTCTTGCCTAAACACTTACTCTACATATAAGCATCATGCTTGAACACTGACTACAAATGTAAGCATCTTGCTTGAATACTGACTTCAAGTAAAATCTTCTTGCCTAAACACTTACTCTACATATGAGCATCATGCTTCAACACCGACTACAAATATAAGCATCTTGTTTCAACACTGACTTTACAAAAGATTTTTATCAAAAACAAAAGACACAAAGCATGAAAAAACTTTTATAAATTTGTGTAAAATTTTGTCTATCTCTCCTTTTATTAGAACAAGATTTCCCCCACCATGAATTAGCTACCATTTTTATATTTATTACTTACAATATCAGCAGTAATATTTAATTTTCATAACTTTTAAAAGTATATTTTAATTTAAATTATTTTGTCTGTTATTTATCATTAATTCTATTTTTCAAAATTACTATATATATATATATATATAATATTTCTGTTGATAATATTTTTGTCAAATTTGTCATAGAGAGAATTTTATGTATTTGTCTTTTCTTTTCAAATTCACTTCTAAGTTAAAAAACATCCATCTATCATAATAATAAACATGGCTGCCATCTGATATTTCACATTATTATGAATTAATTGAATGGAACCAGAATAAATTCATTTAATTATCTCAACAAGTCAAAATAATTTAATTAAATTTTCTTAAAACTTTACTGAAACATTTTAGCAAGTGAAAAAAAAATAGTAAGTTTACTGAATTCATTTTTATTATTATTAATATGAACTTGAGAAAAATATTCAAATGTTTCTCCCATGATGAGCGTTATGTAACAATGTCCAGTGTAGGAAATTCAATTACAGTGTAACCCGGATATAAGAGACCCGGATATAAGAGAAACCCGGATATAAGAGAAATCCGGATATAAGAGAGATTTTCTCTAGTCCCAAATTAGAGCCTGTGTTAATGTAAACAAAAGAGACCAAACCCGGATATAAGAGAAACCCGGATATAAGAGACTTCTTCTCCGGTTCCGACAACTCTCTTATATCCGGGTTACACTGTGTATTATTATTATTATTATTAGTAGTAGTAGTAGTAGTATAGCTGGCCACTCGTATTTGAGGATACCCATTTACTAGGGCGGCTAGCCAATCCCTATTGCAGACACTTGCTCAGGCACATTTGTGTTTATTCCCACTGAGTCCACCTGTGGTTTATACTGCAACTATGCTGAACAGGCCTTAGTTACAGTTTCTGGTAGAGAGCGTATTATCTAGCGTGAACAAGGCCAGCACGCTCAAGCCCTCGGCCACAATGACTTGTGACTTTGTGCTAGCACAGGTATCAACACCACCCAAGGATTCTGTCTGCCCAATTTCACTCACAAGGCTTGGGCCAACCCATGGTATGGTTTTCAGGTACTTTCCAAAGGTGCTGCATGCTAGGATTGACCCCCTCCAGCCCGATAACATCAGGATGTCTCTTTCCTGACAAATCGACCATGGTCTCATAGTCAGAATGTGAACATTGTAACGACTCGGCCACATGACCATTGCAGTAGTAGTAGTAGTAGTAGTAATAATAATAATAATGATGGTGATGATAATAATAATAATAATAAATTTGCTGAATTTATTTTCATTATTATTATTAATATAGACTTTAGGAAATGATTCATGTTTCTCTCATAAAGTTCTCTCCGTAGCTATGGATAGAGTAGGAAATCCAAGTGAACTTATAATAATAAAACAAAAAAAAACTTTAGAAAAGAGATGCCATGCTGAAAATGTTGTTTCTACAAAAAGTCACAGAAGAACTCTGATGACAAATTGACTTTTCTCTGCTTGTAGAATGGGTTTTTGGCAAGTAAATGTAAAGAAATTTATATTTATTGTAATTCGATTCTTCAAGACAGAACGAAAAAAAAAAATTCTCAAATTTTCCTTGGCAAAATATTGCGTTTATTTAAATTTGTTTTTCTGAACCAATAAAAAAAACCAAAAGTCAGAGCTAAAAAAGAAAGAAGTCTATGTCCAGCAAATCGAAGACAAATTCTTATTGATATTCCACACGAGGAAATCTTGATACCAATTGAATAAGATCAGATTTTTGTGACCTTTAGCAAAAATAGGCGATCAAAGAACACAAGAATTGTATAAGAAGGAGTAAAAGTCAAGAAATAATGTTCATAGAGTCTTCAATTGATCAAGAGAGAGATCAGAAGAGAAAGTATGCCATGAAACGCTAGCAGACATGACTTTTATAGATTAACACATAAAAACAATATTGAGATGATTTTGGTAATGCCAAGATTAGCTTTGGGTGGGGGGAATAAAATGAAATGACCATAAGAGAAAAGAATAAGAAAAAGACGGAGGAGGAGGGGAGGAGGAGGATGAAGAAAGGGGAGAAAAAGGAGGACAAGAGGGAGGACAAGATGTAGGCGGACGAAGAGGAGGAGAATAAAGAACTGGAAGAGAAGAAGGAGGAGGAGGTGAAAATGAAGGAGGAAGAGGAAGCAAAAGAAAGGAGGAAGAGGAGGAGAGGGTGGGGGAAAAGAAGAAAGAAGAGGAAGAGAAGCAGACGAAAAATAAGTAGAAGAGAGGGAGAAGAAGAAGAAAGTGGGAGGAGAATAAAGAAAGAAGGAAGCAGATAAAAGGAGGAGAAAGAGGTGATGATAAAGGAGGAGGAGGAGGCAAAAGAAATGAGGAGCAGAAGGAGAAGAGGGTGGAGGAAAAGAAGAAAGAAGAGGAAGAGAAGGAAATGAAAAATGAGGAGGAGGAAAGAAGAAGGAAAGAGAAAGTGGGAGGAGGGTGGAGGAAAAGAGGAAGCAAAATAAGAGGAGGAGGAGAAGGATGAGAAATAAGTGGAAGAGAAGGAGGAGGAGGAAATAAAGATGGATGAGGAGGCAAAAGAAATGAGGAGCAGGAGGAGAAGAGGGTGGAGGAAGAAAAGAAAGAAGAGGAAGAGAAGAAGAAGAAAAATGAGGAGGAGGAGGAGGGGAGAAGTAGGAAGGAGAAGGTGGAAGGAGGATGGAGGAAAAGAGGAAGCAAAATAAGAGGAGGAGGAGGAGGATGAGAAATGTGGAAGAGTAAAAGGAGGAGGAGATAAAGATGGATGAGGAGGCAGAAGAAAGGGAGAAGAGGAGGAGGAGGAGTTGCTGGAGGAAGAGAAGAAAGAAAAGGAAGATGAAAAAGAAGAGAAACACAGGAGAGTGAGAACTAAATGTAAAAAAAGGAATGGGAGAACAAAATAAAGTATTGGAAAGAAAATTGCAGAAGCTTGAAAAAATGTCGAATAAAGAATGAAAGAGAACGAAAAGAATTACAGAAAAAATGGCGGATCTCAACAGGAATTTGAAGAAATAAAGCATCCACAGAAAAGAACACATTCAACTGAAAAATACAAAGATGATGGTAAATAACTTTATACACACACACACATACACACACACATATGTATATATATATATATATATATATATATATATATATATATATGCATGTTTCTTTAAAAACGACAGACAAGGTACAACGGTTAAGCTTTTTATTTAATTTTTCTTGTGTTCTAACAAGAGCTTTCTTTTCTGGTCAAAGGATGTGTAAGAACTGTCCAAATGTTTTATATTTCCGAGCGCTTTCGGCTATACCTTTAGCCGTTATCAATGATGATTCGATATTTCAGCTGAATTGAATGTGTACATTATGTGTATGTCTTAGTGTGTGGTAGGGATGTTTTTAATTTCCGAATACGGTTAGCACACTGTGGCCTTGTTCATAGTTAATATTGTTAAGAGTTGATCTTTTTCTTTTTTATTGTTAAAGCTTCCATTATTTTTACTCTTTTTTTGCAGGTGGATGCAATTAATATATTTGTGTTTTCTACTAGTATGTTCCTAATGGAATCAGGTAAATCTGTGTGTGTGTTTAAATGGGTTCTAATATAGCTATGATCAGATAGGTGTAATGTAAGACGTCTGGATAAGCACATGGTTGAAAGTCTCATGATATTTATTTATGAGTCCGGTTTGATCATGAACACAGATCCTTAAAGGGCAAAAAACTCATAGATAATGTTCGTTCTTTTGTAAAATTATATATATATATATATATATATATATATATATATATATATATATATAGGCTCGATGTATAATTTGTGTGAAAAATTACGCAAAAATGAAAATAACACTGACATCTCATTTTAACAATATATTTAAATTCTTCAAAATTATAAAAATATCTTGAAAAAATTAAAGAATAAATTTATTCAATAAAAATCGCCAACCTATTCAACCAAAATCTCCAGAATAGTCTTTCGAAATATTCTTCATCTCTTCTGGACAGTCACCTTGTTTAAATTGGTAAAAGCTGCCTTGGTCTCTGCTTTCAATTCATCTTTGGTATTAAAAGGAATTTTGTTCTTTTTTTAATTCAATCTGCGTCCCAATATAACAATCAAAGGGATCATGTTGGGGTGTGTTAGGGCGCCAGATGTTTACCTGGGGTGATGTGGTCGCAGAAATTGTCTGACAACCATTACTGATACCATCTTATGTACTTTTTGCAAATGAATTTTGTTTTGTGACATAGGATCTTTCCCACAGCCTCTCTCTTGACCCAGGTCAGCACTACCTCCTCAAGGCACTTGATTAGGCATCCATGTCAAGTCTAAAAATTTTTGTAGGAAGATGAATGGATACATATATATATACCATATATATAGTGATATCCAAACAGCATCGCAATCACCATTATACTCATCTGATTATTTTCAAATCCTCTTCAATATATATAGACTCAACACCGGAACACTCCTGAAATGACGAAATAGAGGAACTTCTGATAAATGCCAAATTTCTACAAAGGAATGGCATTTTAATCTTTTTTCACTTTTTGTCCAACTTTTTACTATACAGTCGTATTTGTAGGAGGGTCAGTGAATGAACTGTAGAAAAACAAAATTAAAAACAAACAATGTGCATACATGAAATTAAAAAATAAAAAATGGCAACAATTTACCCACATAAGACCCATATATATATATATATATATAAATAATGTATCAAATGGATTATCTACAATATATGACCCATATATATAAATAGTCAAAAAAAAATACAACGGTTTCAGCCTGACAATTGCATTTCAAATGAAACAGCCTGTCGCCTTTGAGTTCGTTGTTTTTTAACTTTAATTTTTTAATATTAATATTTACAAACGTATCTATCTTGATATTTTTTTTTTAAATATAAAGTTTAACACATTTAAATAATTTAATTCAAATATTTCATATATATATATATATATATTACATATAAATATATATATATATATATATATATATATATATGATATATACGTATATATATATATATATTATTATATATATATATAATATATATATATATATATATATATATATATATTTATTTATGTATATATGAATTAAAAATTTCAATTTTTTGTATTGTTAGGCCATGATATATTTAAAACAAAAACACACACCAGTCGACCATTTCGTCCCATCTCATCAGGGGCTATAACGGGGAACTAAAATTATGAGGAAAAGAAAAAGACACCGTAATTACTAAGAAATACACATTTTTTTCACAAAAAATTTAATTGTACTCTTTTTTTTTCCATTTGTAGTTTTTGAATTTTTTTTATTTCTTATGTAAATTAAATGATAAAATTGTGGTTGGGGCCCCCTTTATCAACATTTTTAGACCCAATCCACCGCTGCTTGTCATCCGCTTACACAACCTTATTATGTAGGTTACTTGCTGTTTCCTGTACAAATCCTTCAGTTTATTCTATAGTGTCAAATTCGCGAGCCTTCTTTCCTCAATATGGTCCTTATAAATTTCAGCTGCCCCTTTCTTATTACTACTATTCTTGTTGTATCTGTTCTGTGCCTGGTTCTTCCCCCTCCTCCCCACTGCTTGGACAGCATCCTCGAATCTGTTCTGTAGCATGCTTTTCGACTAGCTAAGACAAGCTATAACTATCTGAGACAAGAAATTGACCAGTAGCCCGAGTGAAAACACTCCTCACGTGAAAACAAACTGACCTTGTGTCGCATCCTGACTCAGTGGTGTCGAAAATTTGATGGAGAAAAATTGATATGTGTCGTTAGCAGTTCAGCAATCATTTTTTGTTTCCAATGAAATTTTTCCTATTTCTTAATACTTTGTTTAGCTTTCAGAAGGCATCTTTTCTTTTTTTTTTTATTTTAATATACCTTTGGATTCCTGCATCATATACTTTGTCACCTGTTACGACACATACTTAGATTTTAAATATTAAGTGTCCTTTTTATTACCATTTTCCTTAAAACTTCCTCATTGCTCACATGTTTTTCTATGGTATTCTCAGCATCCTTCTGTAGAACACATCTCTTTTGCTTCAAAGTTTTCCTAATTAAAGAATGAGGAAATCAATTCAAATTCACTGTTGTTTAGAAGGATTGATATTACATAATTCAACACTATTCTCTTTTTGTTTCTAACCAAATTTTCAGCGTTTGTCCAGCGTTCACTACCATATATGACAGGGGTCGGTAACTCATTTGACCCCGCGGGCCAGATCGTGTTATAATGACGGGTCGCGGGCCGGACGAAGGCCATTAATGAAAAATTAAGGAAAATTACATATGCAGACCCCCTGTCAACCTAAATATTTAAAACCATAATGAAAATAAACATTGAGAAATCAGAAAAACAAAGAAAATCTAAAATAAAAAACACCTAAAAAAATTACTTTTTTCCTCAAGGAACGTCAAAATACTTCAAAGTTAAAAAAAAAATCAACCGAAGTGAAATGGATGAAATTATGACGTGTAGGTTTGAAAAACTGTTATTGAAAATTGTTCCACAAACGAACCACACACACACACACACACACATCAAAAAAAAACGAAGCACATATATACCCATACATACGAGTACAAATAGTTGCAAACATATATACACTTACGTAACGTACATGCGGTATCATCCACACATTCATGAGGCATGTATGTATAATGCGCGTATGTTTAACTGTCTTTAGATTTTGCTACCCTCGCATGTCAGTCCCTCCCTGGCCTCTTTCACTTTATCGTTCCTTTCGCTTCTGTTATCTTTTAATGTAGCCAAGAGTCATAACAAATATGTATCCATTATTTGACATTAAACGTAGGCAACGCAACTTGGTAAAATAAGTCTCATGAAAGATAACTGGCAGATAGTCTAATTCGAAAGCCTCGTCTCTCATGTTAAAAATAGAGTCATTGGTAATCAGGCTCGCGGGCCGGTCAAAATGTAGGTTGCCGACCCTTGATATAGGAGGACAGATATTGTGGAATAGTTCAGTACTCTTTTGTTTGTTTCTAACGAATTTTTTTCTGTTTCTTAATACTCTGCTTAGCTTTTGAAATGTACCTTAGTCTATCCCAATGCACTTTCGGATTTCAATGTCGCATTTTCCGCAGATTCAAAAAAAGAATCCATTGATGGCCAATTTTCAGTTGAAAAATTTTGCCATCTTTGATCTGTGCCCAACTGAACAACATCCTTTTTTACCATTTATGATAATTAAGGAACTCCATTTTATAAAGGGAGAACATGTATGTTGGAATAATCAATGGATGAAAAACCTCTACACAATTAGACATTTTTTTAGAATTAGAATTACTTAGTCAATAGTCAGTGACCAAGAATCAAGACCAGAAATCCTTGCAAGAACCGCACAGACTATGATTGCCCTATTTAAGCTGAACACCATATCGAGGGTTACTACCATCTCTAAGCGATACAAGATCAGGTGATCCGGTGTGGACTGGTATTCTCTATGAATATGGACGCTCATAACTGACCTATAAAGAAAGATATAGGCACTGGAAATGCGATGCTATCGCACCATCCAGGGCCTCTCATACCTTTGACCGCATCACCAACGACCGGATACGCAGTAAAATCAATGCAGGAGATTGGACACTGAAGACCTTCAAAATTCTTTTTGAGATGGTATGGCCACGTAAAACGATCGGATGGCTTTGCGAAGACAGTTATCCAAGGAAAGGATGGTAGGACGATAATGAGAAGGAAGAAGAAAAAAAATTGGAATGATATTGATATACAGAATGGATGGAAATTAAAATTTTAAATAGAAACCCATATTTGGCACAAGACGACAACAGATGGACGAGACTGGTATTAAAAGATGAATGAATGTCGAATTTTTTACAAAAATCTTTCCGAGGTTAAAGGCGAAAGAAGAAGAATGAAAAGGAAAGAATATTGAATAAGAAGAAGAAGAAGAATAAGAAGGAAGATAATAATAAAAATATTAATCTTAATATTTGACAAATGTTTATTTCCTGAATTATTAC